TATATTATTTCCTAACTAATATTTATACTGGTCCTTCTTGGTGAATTAAATAGTCTTAGTTACCATCTGGCTCCGTATGAACGTATAAACTTATAAATTCAAGCACTACATAGAGCATACTTATTATTTCCTGCAGGGTTACTCACATTAACCTACAATTTAGGATTTATTCTAATGATAGAATCTACTGTTTTCATTGTTAGAATTGCACTAATATTCCCTCAATCTCCATAATCCCCATCATTCTAAATAAGCAATTTCCACATGCCAATGAGAATTAATTATATTGTAATTTTCAAAACAAAACTCTTTAACTGGTATAGAATTATGAGTATGAAGTAAGTTTATTTAAATAGAAAATGTTGGCAAAATGAATTATTCTATGTTTTGGAAAAGAAGGTCTCTACAATATTGCAACAGACTTAAGGGATATTATTCTAACTTATCCCCTTTCATATTGTATTGAAAAATGTAAGGGTTGACAACAAATTTCTTCTTTAAATGCCTGAGAAATGATGGATCAATCTTTCACATCCAGACAAGTTATTTTTCACGTGTGATTCAAGATCTTGTTGGAGCTTGGAGGTCCCCAAAAAAGACAGCGCACATCATCATCTCTCCATCATCTCCACACCTAAATGAGTATTCTTCTGTAAGAGAATACGTAAAATAGTATTTGAAATTAGTAGGGAAAAAGATAATGCAAGAAATTCAATCATGTCAATATCTTTATAAGCTTAGCTGCAAATTGCAATATATATAAATTAGAAAATAGACCCATAGAATACCCCACAAAGATGAACTGTAATAGTGCTGTTGTCTCTTCATTGATCTGTTAGTAGTGTTACTGATGTCCTGTTTAAATTGCATTTATCTTTACTTGGCCCAAAATTGATGAACAGTACATAGAAATCCTATTTTAAGACCTTCTTGTCACACATGTTGATGATGATGCATGGGAGATAGCAAGAGTGCTTGGTGGGGGTGACCCTGTTTGGATTGCTATTTTTTTAATTTTTTTTTTTAAAAAAAAAACGTATTATAGCGATTTGATGTATATGATCTAAAAAATGATTGAAAAATGTGTTCATGAAATACGTAAAAAAATTTTGGAGAAAAATTTCTTTTCAAGCATAAAAAAATGTACTATAACGATTTGATTTACGTAAAGTTTTGATATAGGTGACATAAGTAGACATTGTGCTTGTTGTCCAGTTGCTAGGGGCCTGCTGTAAAGATTGGAAGCAATTCCCATCAGCTTGTCAATTCCACGCATTAAAAAAAAAAAAGTAAACAATGAGTTATATTTTAGGAGTTAAATTAATTATCAAAACCAAAAGCTAATATCAGGTTTACAAAACCAGTTAAGAAAAGGTATAAATCTACAAAAGGGACAAGCATGTGTAAAATCGTCTCTTAGTTGTTAAACATTGCACTTGGATTGCTTAATTAACAATGCAGGCACTTTATACTCTTTCCTGTGCATATCTTCAAGGTGGCACAAAAGTACTCAAGAACAATGGAGGTACTGCAGACTATTTCCTGTGCATATCTTGAAGGTGGCGCAAAAAAAAAAATTCAAGCACTAGGAGTTTTTCTTCGATTGGCATGAACAAATTACCTTAAACTTTAACAAAAGTTCTTGGTGCTACAAGTTTTAACTCATTTGAATTAGTCCCTGAAGTTTGATGACAAATTAATGAGTCCTCTAATTTTGGCAAAAATAGATTATTTGATCTGTGAATTTCGTTACAAATGCCAAATTCTGCCGTTTTCTTCGATAGACTTGCACTCAAGTTTACCCTGCTACATGCCTGGCCCAAACTTTTTCGTTTTGACTTTTGAGGAGCAAAACCAGGTTTTTTGGCCTAGGCTATTTCATTTTGAAGAGTAAAACCAGGTTCTTTTTTTTTTCGATAGGAGAAGAGAGATTTAAGAAGCGAGGAGGAGGAAAAAGAATTTAAACTCAGAATATTTAGGTCACGAGGTTTCAACATTAACCACTAGATCGAAACCTCGTCATGGTTGGTTAGTAGACATTGCATGCTATCAAAAGAGTATAGACACATGTTGTTGATGGACTAAGAAGCATCAAAGATTAGATGACTGGTATTGGTTCAAATTGATTCAAATCCCTCCTTTCGCCTCCTTACTTCTTAAAATTTACCCCTTTTCTGGTAAAAGCAAAATTAAAATTAAAAGAGAACTAGCATTGTTTAGTGCCTGGAAGGCAGGAATTCAATAACTCTCAAAAAAAAGATAAATTTCAAATGTTAAACCCCACCAAAAAGTTGAGGAATCTCTTTATTTTATTTCCCAACAAGTACCTTTCATTTCCAAACTCATGATCCCACGTAATGATATCAAAGTTGATATCGTCTTCTTCTAGAATAAAAGATATATTGATCACCTAGACAAACAAAAAGAAAAAGGCAATTATATAAAGCACAATATAGATTATACATACATTTTCTAATTATGAAAATAATAAAGATGAATAAAAGTTAAATTACTCACAGCCTTATTATAGCTTTTTTTTTTCTTTTTTTTTTTTTGGGTTTTGCACATCATATTATTATCTTAATTAAAATCAAACCGATTTTTTTTTATTTACAATAGAAAAAGAAGAACCCTAATGTTCATCTTGAAAGAATGGTAGCTTTACCATTCAACTAGCCATCCCATTATCTTCAAAGTACCAATTTTAATGCCACAACAATATGTAACATAATGACCAAATTGGCAAGTAACAATCAACTTTTCTTTTTACTTTATCAAAGACATCATAATCATAGTCATGCTCTAACTCGTTATCAATATAAGAATTGTGTTGATGACATGCTCTAACTCATGGTATCGATCGGGACTGAAATAACCTAAACCTTTATTTTACAAAAAAAAAAAAAATGAACATAGTCAAAGTGACTGATGATGGTAGATGGAAGTATATGGCTGGCACCGTATTTTCCAAGACAAGTGAATTTATGTCGTCCGACGTGTGGTTGTCGGTGGTGCTTACAGGTTGAGAAGCGCTCCTCCAATCATTGAATTGAAACCCCTTCATCTAAATCGGGGGCTGCCGCCTGCCGGGCTGCCCCCCCTTCTTTGTTTTGTAGCTTTTATTTCAGTGTGATTGAGGGCCTTCCTCCCATCCTATCCACTATCTTTTAATCCAATCCCAGATGGCATATTCATTCTTGCCATCCAATTATACATTCATCCCAAAAAAAAAATTTTTTTTTTCCTTTACAATCTAGCAGAAGAAAATCCAAAAGGTGCATTAAATATTCAAAGATTTTTCTAACAGGTGCCTATTTTTATTAATATACCTAAGTTATTTTTTTTTTTTTGTCGAAACGATAGATATCCTATAACCTAATCTAGCCTAGTCTAAGGGGAAGGGGAAGGGGAGGGGGTTCGATGTGAGTACAGACTCCATCGATGAAGGTCAATTAAGACCGCCACAAATTGTGACAAATTTGTGGGAGGCAGGGATTGAACCCCTGACCTCCAGCATCACCTTTAATGGTGATGACCACTGGACCAAATGGCCAGTGGCATATACCTAAGTTATTATGTGGATGCAAACGTTAATATTTATTGTACTTTATATTTAATTTTTAAAAAAAAATTAATTACACTCTTGTAAAAAAATAAACACTTGATGGTGGTACCCACTAGCCCCAACCAAGATAAGGAAAAAAAAAACCATGACTTTATAATTGTTGAAATTCAAACTCCCTTTTTCTTTTGGAGCAAATTTTGTTATTTCGATCAAGGTCTTTTTAGTATCTTTATGAATTTAGAGACGATTTGACATTGACAATTGTAGAAGAGATTACCTCCTCCATTCTATTTTGATAGATTTGTTTTTCTTTTTCATTCGTTCCACTCTCTAATTGAAGGATATAGCTAACTTGTAACTTTTCTGAGAAGCCCTTATTTAATGTAAGTAGTTATTGAATATAACCTAACTCACTTAATGTAAAGCTGATTCATGATATGGGTATTTTAGGAAGACATTAAGCTAGATTTATTCTTCCAACAAAATTAACTAAATTTTCTTGGACTGTGTGAAAAATAATACTTAAGTCTATCAAAGTGGGACAGGGGAGCATTAATTATATCTAGGAGATGCATAATACTTTTTGAGTAAATTTTATATACACTGACAGTACATACGCTATCACCGTTAGATCCATGACACATGTGCAAAGATTGAATTTCAAATTCAAATTTTGCATCGTTGCTATTCATCCAACGCTGACAATATATATACTATCAGTGTAGAAAAGATTAATCCATACTTTTTTGCCAAAGATTAAATTTTCATCACTTTGCACCGTTAACATTGGTAATGTACGTTTAAGTGGTTGATGTAAGATAGGAGAGTGTGAATTTGGGGCTAGCTTCTTAAGTGTTTATTAGTTAGTTGGCAAACAGGATTCAAGTTGCCACTTAATTCTTCAATTGTCCAGTCCTTTTCTTTCCTTTTCCTAATACGGAATCCTAATTAAGTTATATAGATTTTCATACCATTTCCTTTAAATTTATAACTTCAAAACACCAAAGTGAAAAAGTAGTTTTTGTTGAAGTTGCTGTTCTTTTCCCGAAACTGTTGCTGTCTGCCTTCAAGTTTGATAATGATTTTTGAAAATTGTGGTTAGCCAAGGATTAGCATACAACAAAGCAACACGTCTGTAACATTTCTAACTAAATTTCTCGCATGTAGCTTTCATTATCCTGTTCATCACCAAGAAAAATTGCTTATTTAAGGACGCTCCCATAGAAAATCAAATCAACTAAAAAATCTTAAAGAAAAACACGACTCTGGATAGAGTACTATTGAAATATTATTTAAAATAATTACAGTAACAGTTTTTATGATGTGATATATGCAATATGAAAAGATGATTAAAAATATTTAAAAAATGAATTAAAAAATACATCTACGATGCAACCGAAATATTATTATTCAAAAAATAACTCCCAAAAACCAATTTGTTCACTTCCAGAGTTTTGAATCTTTTCGTAAGAGTCAAATTTGTACATGGACCCTACCATTCTTGACGATTTGGTGTCGGTAGACTTCACATTTGAAAAACAACGCTAACCCCCGAAAAGGTACCTATTACTAACACAGTAGAATCCTTCTTTCACATAGTAACAATCATAGTAATGCGGATTGAAAAACAGAAATACATCCTCAGATATGAAGAATTGAGAAAATACACGCAAATTATACAAAGAAGAAAAAGTGTTGTGATGGAGATGAAGGACCCCTTTTTCAAATTGCTTGATGATGGATTAAACGGAAGCAAGTTCTTTGAATCTGCAAATGAAAACGATGGATAAGCGAATTAGTAAATGTATTCTAGGCACATGTAGAATGGTGTTGAATTTGAGGTTACAAGAGAAATTGAAATTAATTGACAGGGAAGGTTCAATTGAATCATGAACAACGAGTTTAGTACAATCAAGAAAAGTAGTAACAACACTATTTACTTTTTGGCGCATTTGTCACATCTTTGTTTTTTTTTTTTTTTAAAAAAAGTTTAAGTGGGTTCGGCTCCGATCACTGTCACAGATCAGGGTATGCCTCTGAAACCATAAGTCGCTTACGGAGGTTCTTCTTACATTTGTTGCATCTGCTAAACCATGTCAACATATTATTAGTAGTCCAAAATAACAGAGATCAATAAAACTGAACAAGACAAAAGTGCAACAAATTAATGTGAGTTGTGTTTAACGTTAAGCTAAATATAAGTTAAATATACTAAAAAGTGCCCATTAGAAATGGTTTGAAAAATCCCCAACTCAATAGTCAAACTATGAAATGACCTTGTAATATTGTATATAGTATATAAGCTATTTCACCCCGGGGCTAGATCACGCGGTCTGTGGCTGCTTCCGGCACTCGCAGGTCGTGGGGTCGAACCTCACTTAACGCCTGGGTGCGGTTGGGGTGGTGCTGTACTCCAGGCGCAGGGGATTAGTCGGGCCACCTTCGGGTCTTGACCCGGACACCCCTGTGTTGACAAAAAAAAACAAAAAAAACCTATTTCACATGGTATAACTATTGTCCAATTATAAGATTCCATTATATATTTATATCTAAGCCACATATATATAGCGGTAAAATTGTAAAACAAGAAATATGAATACTTGGAAAACTTTGTATTTTTACTCCTTAAGTTAGTACTAACAGAGATTGCATGCACAAGTGTATTCTCATTTCCCATACATTTTCTTAAGGTAAAGGTATCTTAGGACCCAATCCATTCCAATCCAATGCAAAAGCAGCACCAGATTTGCGTAAAATCCACTTGATTACTTCCATCTTTATTTCTTTCTCTTTCTATTTCCATCTTTACTTCCATCTTTGTTAACTTAAAATCTAAGTATGATATTTTACAGTCTTCATTAAATCACCAGAAATTGTTTGGTATTTTCACTCCCAAGTCAGGACAACCGGGGTCATAACTCATAACAGAAGTTAAGTCCCAATCCAATATATATAAATGATCCATCTTCGGAGCTATGAGGCTCAAAGGTTACTGTTAAGCCTTCTATCAATATAGCTTTGCCTATTAGAACAAGCCAATATAACAAAATCTCACCTCAGAAGTCAGAGGAATCTGTCACTTTTACTCATATGGGTCGCCACTCCTGTTGTGTAAAACAGAAGCTAAGGAAAGGCTTGTGGTCACCAGAAGAAGATGAGAAGTTGTTCAATTACATTACTAGATTTGGCGTTGGCTGCTGGAGTTCAGTCCCTAAGCTAGCTGGTAAGTGAAAAACAGTTCTTGATTTTTCTTATAGTTTTGTGGATTAAGTAGTCCGAGATTAATCAAGAAAATTCATGCAGGTTTGCAGAGGTGTGGAAAGAGTTGCAGATTGAGATGGATAAACTACTTAAGGCCTGATCTTAAAAGAGGAATGTTCTCTCAGCAAGAGGAGGATCTCATTCTTAGGCTTCATGAAGTTCTGGGGAACAGGTATTTGACTCACTGGAGAAGTTGAACATATATGGTTCACATTTAGAATCTTTGAAGTGAAAGGAAGTAGAATGGGAATTCTAATTATTGTGCTTTTTTTATTCTCTCCCTTTTGGTCATGCATTCAATTACTTTATAGAATACTTTGTACTCTTGTCTATACTAAAATTTTGTGCTTTAATTTAAAAATGGCAGGTGGGCTCAAATTGCAGCACAATTACCAGGAAGAACAGATAATGAGATAAAGAACTTCTGGAATTCATGTCTCAAGAAGAAGCTAATGAAACAAGGAATTGATCCAATTACTCACCAGCCATTATCCGAAAATGAAGCAAGAGATCATGAGGAGAAGAATAGTACAGATAATAGAGCATCATTGCAGATGGTACCCTTTTCTAGTGGATTACTTCCAAATTTACCATCATCTGGAATGGAGAAAGCATATCCAATCACTAGTACAACAAGCAGTTATTGCCTTGGTGGAAATACTGAATTTTCGCGAGATCAGCAAATGGTGAGCAAACAAGTCCTTGATCCATTGTTTCTGTTAGAATTCCAAGCAACCATTGATCCTTGTGGATATGATAAATTTCTTAGTACACAGTATCAATACACCATGAGGCCTCAGAATCAGAGCACTGAATTTGAGGGGAATGCGAATTATGCATACGGTTCAATGCCAACGTTAACAAATTTCGACCAAAGAAGTGTGACAGATACAGATTTTTCTGATAGCTCAAATTCAAGAATGAGTTCATTCTTGATGAATGAGGCAAAGGAAAGCTCAAGCAATAGTACTTCCAATATCAACAGTGGCCATCCTTCAATTCAGATTCATACCATGGCAGCTGAAAGTGCTAATGTATTTTCATGGGAAGCTGATCATCAGAATAAGTTTGATTCAGTTTTTGATTATCAACAGCAATTTAATGAGATCAAGATTGAAGAAGATCATAAGCCAAGGCCATGGCAAGAAGGCCAGCTTCAAGCACACAATTCAGGAGATTTCAGTAACTATCCATTGACATCACTATCTGAAGAAGACTTGAGTGGGGCAAGCCTGGATGTCTTCCACCAAATATAAATTGTAAATTCTTATCCTTTTTTCCCTCCTTAGAAAACCATACAGAAGTGTTGATAGTAAAGAAGATTTGTAATGAAAGATTTGACTATGAAGTGTGAATCTCTTTGATTTTTACCTCACGTAAGGGTATAAACCTTTTGTCTAAAGCGTCTGTGTTTTTACCCCTTGTATTGTTTTCAGGGTTGAAAATATTGGACAATAATGTTTTTTACAGCGTCTTGTACCAGTGAAATACTTCTGTGGTCCTAATCCGTCCATCATCCATGCCATGTAACTAACTAGTTCAGATCCTTCTTTTTTCAGTTTGCCTGTCATTAATGAGTGAATCTCATTTTAGATAGAAAGACGTACCTAAACTGACCTTAGGATAAAGGGCCTAAAGCCTAAATGGTTGGAGAATTGACCATTTTAGTTGGCGGCTTTTGTAACTCAGATTTCATCAGTACACTTTTCCAGTTCAAGGTCGAAAGCAGGCCTCACTGCAAACTTGCAAATTCGCAAATTGATTCACTGTGTAATAAGTACATTCTGTCAACATATCACAGGCAAGAATAATTTGTCATCCCTCTCCCTAACAAGCATCCAGTCCTTAAGGAGGAGTTTAGGTTTTTAATATTTTGAAGAGTAAAATTAAATCGAGAACGTGTAAAAATGCAAGACAGGATTTAATTGTCAGTATATACACTTACACGACATACACGTACGTGATAGGGGGATGAAACTCCTTAAAATAGGGGAATAATCAAATAAACTATATATATAATTATTTTGGGCTAGGACAATAAAAAAAACTAGCCAAAGTAAACTTTTTTATCACTGATCGTACACTGTCCTGATTGGTTTTGGTTTGGAATTTTCTTGATGACCTTATTCCCTGATCTTTGTTCCTGAATTCCATGCTATGAGATGATCCCGGGAGTTACTAATGTAACCATTCGAATTGAAGGAAAGGAAAGATAAGGACACGTGCATCCAATTGAGATGTAGATTAATCTTTTCAATCATTTCAGAACGTCAAAATTCTCCTTTAAAGCTTTTTACTTTTGGACCACAAGTACTGACCTCTCTTGATTAAGGATGGGGCTAAATCCATGTTACCTCTGTCTAAATCGACACCCTTAGCAGTAAGATGACAATAAAGCCCATAGGAGTTTTATAGAAACTTTTTTCAATACAAAAACTTGTTTTTCATATAACAAGAGATGTTTAAAAAATCAATTATAAATTTTAATTAACCAAAATTGTTTGATATCATCATCTTAGTTATTGATCCGGTGTTTTCTAGAATTATACTTAAATCAACTTTGAAGTGCAACGTGCCAAAAAGGTAAACATATTTTCTTAACACAATTGATAAAAAAAAAAAAAATCGCTCGTCTCCTTTTACATGATAAAAAGTGATAAAAACATTATTCTCTCCACCAAATAAGGGAAAAAATAAATGCCATCCAAGAGAATTAAAAAAATATCAGAAAATTTAAGACCATTCATAATGATGTAAATTTTAAATCCAAATTAGTACCGTATATTTTCACAAAAAAAAATCTAATTTCTGATGGAAGAAGTTTCTACCAAGCCCCGTAAATGCTATGGTCAACTTAGATATAAGGGTGTGGATTTAGGTTGTGGGGGTGTGGATTTAACCCCCCACCCATCCATAATATATCATATGAACAAGTTAAAATCCAAACCTTTGACTCTTGGTATACAGTAAAACCTTTATAAATTAATAACCTTTATTAAATAATAATTTTTTCGATTCTGACAGGGACTAACAACCTAAATTAGTAATTTTGATAAAATAATAAGATAATAAATCTTTTTTTGAAAACCTTACGTAACGCTTTTGTCCCGTTTATATCATAAATTAATAATTCACTAAAATTACATATCATATTTTTCTAATATATGAGTCTATTTTTTTTTTTTTTTTTAAGAAATCAATTGGTGCAATTGTTTTTGAGTAGATGCTCTCTACTACACTCACATGACGCTTTACACATTTGATTTATAAACACTTATGGAAAACCATAGTCTAACAGTGAGATATGTAAGAAGATTTTGTGATTGTTTATTATAAAAATACTTCTTTGTCATTTAATAAAACAGAAGTGAACATCTATCATTTAGTATTCGTGAGTCTTGTTGACGTCCTAATAATAAAAAAATGATATCAATTACATACGTACATTGAAAACATTAATAGAATTAAATTATATATTTTAAATCAAGTAGATATGGATTGGTTTATATTCCTTAGACTTCTAAGCTTCTTTAATTAATAGCATAATTCATATTTTATAAAATAAAATAAAACTTTAGTTGATTAAATGAGCGTTTTTTTGGATTATACGTATACTCGATTGAGTAATTAATACTTCATTAAATTAATACAATTTGTATGGTCTCAAAGTTAGTAATTTACACTTTTGTCCTGAACATATACATGTGTGTGTGTGTGTGAGAGAGAGTTTTGATTAAGCCAACTCTTCCTTAACCTAATAAAACATGATTTTGGTTATTCATTCAGTAAATGCACGTATGCTTTCTAATGATAGGGTTAGTGGTAGGACCAATTATTGCTTTAAGGAGTTAACAGTCATGATTAACTATGTTGAATACTTAGTGATTAAGAAAAAATCGCATATTCACATGAATAAAATGCAAAGTGCTCGAGTTTTTTTTTTTTTTTTTTTTTAATCATGAACACAATTTATGAATCACTTACAAAATTTACACGTAAAATGGATACTGATACATAAGTTAAAAGACATGTTTATACACTTTATGAATGCATGTACACTTTTTACATGGAGAAAATAACATGGGAAATCAACACATAAAATATATACGATTAAATTTTTATTAAGTAAAAAGACTTGTTTCATAAATAAAATGCAAAGTACAAAATTTAATAGTATTCATGTGCACAACTGT